GAGCTAGCTGTGCCCATGCCGTCACCAGCGTGGCAGCAGCACTCGCACCCCTGACTCAGTAGATGTGTAATGAAAAGTAGGCTCAAGGAAGGATGGCTGAGCGCCGTGGACTGCTGTATTCCAGGCACCTTGCATGGTGCCAGCAAATAGCAGGTTTCCAATAAATTAACATTTAATGTCATCTGACTCTCTTTTGATATGTGTACAAAGAAGAAAGCCACAAATAAATCGCTCTGAACACCCAGAATTATTCCAGGGTTCTCTTTATGGGTTTATTCAGATTAAAGACTGGATGGAGAGGGGTGTGGATGGAAGGATGGATATAAAGATAGGTAAGAACAACTTTGTACAAATGTGATTGTGTCATATCTGCTATTTTAAAATTAAAAGGATTAAATGTAACCTTACTACAGCTTAACTGAAAAGAAACTGAAGTAAAATGGTGGACTTTAGATAAATGTCAATTCCTTACAAGAGATATCACTTCCTAAAAGTTCTCTCTAAAAGGCAGAGAGAAAGATAAAAATCATCGAAGGGTTAGAACTGGAGTCATTATGTCGTGTTTTCTTAACAACACATTTCCATTTTCAATGCCATGGGTTGACTCTATTAAAAGAGATTCTTAGTAAGTACTCTCCCATCTCCCCTCCACCTACACCCCAATTCTGGTTGCTTAAATTAGTTTTAATTTGACAGGTTTTATAACATTTACATTCTGTTCTGCAACCAGCATTCACCTAGTTGCTATTCCTAGTTCTGCACTTAAATAGACTTGAAGCTCATCACCACTCATTCTAACAGCCTCCAGATTACTGAGCTGGGGTTATTTTCCTTCGAATCACATCTTGGTTGGCAGGATTTTGTCACTGCATACTACTTTCAAGAAGAGCCTGTGAATGCTTTATTTCCCGAGTTCTCTCATGCGAGGAAAGACAGGCTTTATACCTGAATGACCGCTTGGCCAGTGTGATCCTCTCAGGCCAGGCCCTTTCCCCGCAGAATGTTGAAGATGATCTTTCATTTTCATTCTGTTGCTCTCTCTTTTTGCTGGGCTTGGCAGCATGTGACGGCAGCCATTCTTTCATTCCCTTCTTTCCGAACCGTTTGAGAAGGAAGATAAAGAGTAACGCTCACATTGGAGAATGAGGCTGATCCTGACCCTCAGAGTGAGACAGGCAGGCTGGCCTGGGGCAGGTCCATCCAAGCTCCACGGTGTGAAAGGTGATGTGTGCTTCCTCGCTTTCAATGAAGACAAGGAGGGAGCAGCAGCCTGCAAGCTGCCCAGTTTTTTCTCTTCAACTCACCACTTAGATGTTCTTCCACCTCCCATGCACAAGTAGAGCCAGGGGGCCTGGGGACAGTTCCCTGCGTGTGGGAGGACTCCTCAGGATGAAGGAAGCAGCATCCTTCTGTCACTTGACTTTGGCATCTTGATTTGTTGAATCTATAATTTTGCTAAGTTTCATCTGTAGCACAAAGTATCTCAGGAACTTTGCTTCCAGGTTTTCTCATCAATGTAAATGTTGAGGGGGGCAGTGTGAGCCAAGGACATTGGATTTGGCAACTGGACGGTCTTATATCGCTTTAATCTAGAAGTAGAGGTCGGATTTAAGCGCTGGATCCAAAATCAGAAGGGAGGTCAGGGAAAAAGCAGGATGGTGAAATAAAGGCAGAAGGTGCAGTGTCCCCTGGAGGGCTCAGGGAGTGCAGGAAGAGGAGGACAGTCTGTGAGACGCAGCGAGGTGTCCTGTGGACCCTGCAGTCCAGGAAACGCTCATGCTTGTTCCTAGGCAGAGGGAAGAAGCTAAGAAAGGAGACATTAAAGAAGGCCAGGAGGAAGGACAGAGGGTGAGCAAGACAGGGAGCGATGGGTGGCGGGGATAAGGCCCTGGGAGAAGTAGGGGAGGGTGCAGACCCAGGGCCATGTCCTCACAAAGAGGAGGATTCTGTTTCCTAAAGTGGCCGAAGTGACCACACAGCTCACGGCAGAGGGCAGCAAGGCCCTCCCAGGCCCACTGTCAGCCCAGATCAGACGAGGTGTGGCCTCTGCTGGTGCTGGAGCAGCTGGAGAAGTGTCAGGGATCACGGAGTCAAGAGTGGCACATCGGTGGTGTCCAGGGACATGAGAAGCAAGGCCAGAGAGAGACCTGTGGTGCTGGTGGTGGGCGGGGAGCCTCTCACCTCTGCAGCTGCTCTGTTGGGGAGCAGGGAAGCAGCCGCAGCTAGCCCAGCCAACACCCAGAGCTGTGAGACTCCAGGAAGGCACAGCTGTCAGGGGAAGCTGGGACCAGGGGCCAGGAAAGGACTCTCTTTATTTGTTGCCTAGAGTGGAAGAGATGGGGATGGGAAGGTCTGCCAAGGTCTGTCAGCCTTTGTCCTAAAGATGAGAAGAAGGAAACAGCACACCGTTGTCCAATTCCAGGCCAGCACCCATTCTGTTGATGAGGACACTGAGGCCTAAGGCCCACGGCAAGAGCCTAGGGTGGGGGGAAACAGATTCTAGAGACTCTTCAGGACTGGGGTGTGGGCAGCTGATGAGGCTAGAGAGGTAGACAAGGGTCAGCTCACAGATGGCCTTGAATGCCACACTAACTCTAGAGAGTTCAGTCTGGTGGAAGTGTGGAGAATGGATTGGAAGGGCAGGGGGCTCAGTGCAGGTAGGAAAACAGGGATGATGTCATGGCCAAGCCCAAGTGCTATGGCTGAGCTCCCGTGGTATGGCTGGAGCTACAGGACTTGGTGACCAACTGGATATGAGGTGGAGGGGGATGCCTGAGCATTAGACCTGGCCAGCCAGGGAGTGCTCTTCATGGGGATGAGGCCAGACTATTGAAGGTGGGACAGTGAGCTGGGAGACACCCAAGGGAGATGTCTGGTATTCAGCTGTCTGCCCCAGTTGGAAGCCCGGAGAGGATTCCCAGGCAGGAGCCATGGACCAGGGCCATCCACACGCAGGTAGATGGTTAAGGCCATGGCAGGGCTGCCCTCAACCAAGAGAGACCCCAGAGGGACACCAGCACTCAAGAAGCGGGCAGAGGTGGGGGATCATGAGAGGCTGAGAAAGAATTGTCAGACATATAGGTGAAAAGGAGGAGAAAATGATGGTGTCATAAAAACCAAGAGCAGAGCTTCAAGGATAAGGTGACCAGACGTCCAGCTTTTGGTGGGACAGTCCCAATTTTTAACAATTTGTCCCGCATTCCGCGGCATTTTTAAAAAGTCCCAATTTTTGGAAAGAATGCATGTTAAGCTAGGGAACAGCGGGAGAATGGGATGGGAATATACGGTTTTTGGCTGCTGAAAAGGTTAATGTAACTCCATTTGGGAATAAAGAGGTTAATAGAACTTCATTTGGAAATGAAAAGGCTAATGTAAACTCCCTACTCCCCTCCTGGGCAAGGTATCAGAAGGAGACTGGCTCCCTCCCTTGCTTCTAGGCAAGAACAATTAGCTCAGAAGGAGCCAAACGGTCTGGAACAAACAAGTAGACTCCCCTCTCTAGAGTAAGGTGACCAGACATCTGCTTTTGGCGGGAAAGTCCCAATTTTTAACAATTTGTCCTGTGTCCTGTGGCATTTTAAAAAAGCCCTGATTTTTGGAAAGAATGCCCAACAATCTAGGGAACACGGGAGAACAGGAAGGGAATATATAGTTTTTGGCTGCCATGTGGCTATTTTGCCAAGATATGCGTTTTATATTATTTTTGTTAATTTTATAATGTTAAACTTTAATAATAACAAATAATTGTTGAGAACTGATTATCGAGAACTGCTTATCAAAGTTTGCATTGTTGTCAGGCCCCGCCCCCAAGGCCCCGCCCCCACAATGGTGTCCTGTTTTACCAATGTTAAAATCTGGTCACCTTATTCAAGGAGGGTGAGCGCAGAGATGCCCAGTGCTATGGGAAGCTGAGCAAGATAAAAGTGTCCCCCAAGTAGCAGCAGGAAGGGTGTTAGTGGCCTAGTGAAGAGCAATTTCAGTGACGTCCTGGGGCAGAAGCCAAATTTTGGAGGGCGAGGGGTGAAGGGTGGATGGAGGGTCAGGCTGATTGGAATGCTTTGATCTCTTCTGTGTTGGCCACAGTCTGCTGTCCCTTCCCTTCAAAGGTTATGGATTTTTCTTGTGCTTTGCTGTGTCACCAAGGTCTTAGCTTACCTGCCTCCTGTCCTGTTAAGTGCCTCATTGATCACCAAGGGTGATGGAGCTCCTTGCAAGTCTCTAGAGCCCCAGAGCCTTGGTCAAGGTCTCCAGGCCCTCTGAGTGTTACCTTTGGAGGCTACCATGCTGGGGCAAGACTGACATACAGTTTGCATCCAGGCCTTGGCTGTACCAATCTGGCACCTGTCACATTTTATCGACCAGGTCCCCAGTGACTTCTCGTACTGTTTATATATTTTTTTGAGACACAGTCTTGCTCTATTGTCCTGGATAGGGTGCCGTAGTATCATAGCTCACAGCAACCTCAGACTCTTGGGCTCAAGAGATCCTCTTGCCCCTCAGCCTCCCAAGTAGCTGGGACTATAGGTGCCCGCCACAACACCCAGCTAGTTTTTCTAATTTTAGTAGAGACAGGGTCTCACTTTTGCTCAGGTTGGTCCCAAACCTCAAGCGATCCATCCGCCTAGGCCTCCCAGAGTGCTAGGATTATAGGCATGAGCTATCACACCTGGCCTACTCTATTATTTAATGAGATAACCATAGAACATCAGCACTGAAGGAGTCCCCCACATCTTAGGCTAGCCCCTCAGTAAGTGGGGGCCCACTGAGGGAAAGTGATTTGCCTGTGGCCTGACAGAGGGATGCTCAGTGTTCTAATCTGTGTAAGCCTCTGGTCTGGAGACCATGCCACGCAGCCTTCCCCAGTGACCTGAATGGGTCAGGGTACCTTAGAAAACCTCTCAAGGCCAGAGCTGTAAGCCCTCTGTTGTTAAATCCCTCTCTGGAGCTGGTCCTGGAGCCCCTCAGTGACCTATGCCTCCCCTGCCCCGCTGCCATGGCAGGTACCAGGGCCATGTGCCCGGTGCGGCCTTCTCCTTCGGCTCCCCCTACGGCACCACCACCCTCAAGTACTTCCAGGACCACCGCAGCGCAGCCATGGAGCACCGCCACACTCCTTTCAGCAAAGGTGGCCACTTTCCCACCCTCTTCTCCTCCGATCCCAACCTCGTGCTCCTCAACTGCTCGCAATCCTGGGAACGTTGTCTGCACCGGCCCAACTACACCCGCTTCAACCTGGACAGCGACCGCTCCCACCTGCTCACACACTTCTACCAGGTGAGCTGCTGCCTCTCCACCTGCCTGCCAGACCTGCGCAGGGAGGGCCTGAGGGGGCAGCGGGCCCTCACACCCTCCAGAGTCTTCTTTGGCATTTTCACAGCCCCTAAGCCGGCAGGGAACCTGTTGAATTTGTGGGAGGGAAGGGCTCAGCCCTCCACTTCTCTGGTCTCCTCCCACCCCCAGGGCTTCAATGGCTTCTGATCCTGCCCTCCCCCCCCCCACCCCGGTCTGGGGCCTCTGGGGGGGTTTCCTGCCTTCCCTTGCTGCCCTCCCCTCAGCCTGGCAGACCCCTGAGTAAAGGCTTAAGATTCACCCACTGGATGAATCATACAAAGAGCAAAGCCACCATGCAAGCCCCCCACCCACACTGCCCCCTCCTTGCCCCATATTCTCTCTGAACATGTGCCCCAGTCAGCCTCAGCCCCAGACTGTCCTCAGAGGAAGTGAGGAGGAAGAACACACTCTAGCTGTTCTTGTCCTGCTCCTCTGGATTGCAAACCTCTCCTCCTTGCCCCATCTGCTTCTGACACACCCCAGCAGGCCACACGTGTATGGGGCCTGAGCTGCCCCTTGTCCCTCGGTGGGGCAGAGGGCTCCTTCTCTGCTATGTTCCTGGAAATGGTGCTTTCTCCATCCCTCTTTGCAAACCTCCCAGCCTGGATTCAAGGACACAGATGCCTCCTGGTCCCAAGGCAAAGAACTTACATGATAAGGCACCTGGCTCTGGGAGCAGACAGGGTCAATGTCATCAGTCCCTGAAGGTGTTGTGGCCATGTTCTTGCACAGAACATGCCCTGTCCAGGAGGGAAGGAAAGGGAAAAGCAAGCCCACACCGAGCTTACGTAGTGCCGAGTGCACAGCAGGTGTGTGTGCCCTGCTGGCCTAGGTCTCATGCTTTGTCTCAGCTGATCCCTTGTCTTATCCACTTTCTGTGGCAAAGCTGGTGGAGTGGGTGCTACTGTCCCCATTGGACAGACAAGGTTCAGAGTAGACACCCAGCTGGTCAGCAATTGAGCTGGGGCTCAGGCACTCTGGGGCTCCTCCAAGGGTATCAGGGGAGACAGCCCTGACCCATGGCCAGGTCCATCCAGGCATGGCTGCAGGGGCCTGCACTCACTCCGCACACTAGCAACCTGTCATCTCTTCCTTGGTTGAGACGTAGACGGCACAGCAGCATCGGAAGTACTATCAAGACAAGACAGGCACGGTGCCCCGGGTCCCCTACTTTGTCCTGCCTGTGAGAGAGACCGAAAAGTACCCGCTCCCCACGGACCTGTGAGTGCCTGCCCTCCCTACCTCCAAAGGGGTTAACAGACATGCCCTAAAACTTGCAGGGCAGAGTGGCAGTTAGAAAACAGTGAGATCCGGGCTGGGTAGTCTCAGGTGGGATGCCAGGATCCTGAATAAGGCAGGAAGGGCACTTTCATAAGCAGGCGCACTGGGAGCTTGGGACCAAACCTGAGCTGGCCTGAATGT